GGCTTGGGGGGGGGGCAGCGAAGCGCAAGGCAAGGCGAGCGTGGCCCTCAGGGTCCCCTCACTCTCTCTCTCTCCGGGTCCCAGTTCTGGCCGCCTGCATGCTGTGTCCCCCTCGCCTCGCTCCCCGCCTGAGAAGGAGAAGCCACGAAGAGCCTTCTAGTACTTTCAAAGCCGGGCGATCGCGATAACATACGGTTTTGTGGACCATGGTGTAGTCCAGTACGCTGTAATAAATGGGTTGATCGGGAAGGCTTCACCAACTGCTTTAGCAGCAGCAGAGCAAGATGGCTGGCTTTCTGGGTGTGTTTACCTGTAGCAAAACGGATGGATCTCAGATTTAGCCTAGATGGGAGAAGAAAAGACCACAGAAATTTGGGGATAAGTTGCTGGTGGAGCTATGGACTCAAATGGAGGGATGGATGGGTAGACAATTGGAAGGAAATGCGGAGAGGAGAGAGAAAAGAATAAGGACGAAGCTGGCAAAGGGGCTTTTGCAGGATTTTGGCTGGCTGCATAGCTGAATGAGGGTGAAAGAAAATGCACATTGATTTGCTATGAATTTGGCTTTCCCTAGGTGGATTCTCTTTAGTTGATCAGACAAGAGTTAGCAGAGAGAGAGAGGAGGACATTGGCAGTCAGCCCTTGTTTGGAGCTTGTTGTAACAGCTCCTGTTGTAGTTGTCCAGATCTGCTGTAGTAGTGCCTCCTGCAAATCTGGACAGCTCAAACAGAAGGTGCCACAATAAGCTGCAAACAAGGACTGATTTGCAATTTCCTTCTTTTTTCGCTCTCTGCATCTCCCAGATGTTCTAGCAGAGCTTTGTTCCAGTGTTGACATCAGGCATTAAAAAGAAAAAGAAAGACAGTTTGGAGACAAGAGCGAAAACTGACACTCCTGCGAGTGTCCCTTTGTTTCCTCTCTCCCTATCTTGACAACTACCAGCACTCCTGCAGAGATACCTAGTCTGTACTTCTTTACTACTGGAACCACCACCACCACTACCTCCTCCTCCTCCTCCTCCTCCTCCTCCTCTTCTTCTTCTTCTTCTTCTTCTTCTTCTTCTTCTTCTTCGTACTTCTTTACTACTGGAACCACCTCCTCCTCCTCCTCCTCCTCCTCTTCTTCATCACTTGTGCTGAAGGTGACTTGACACATTTAACAGCAGCTTGTTTTCCTTCTGATACAGGAAGTATTTATTAGTGGCAAAATATTAAATGTTTGTAAGAGGAAACAAACAAGCACATTTCTTCATTTGAAAGGGTTGCAAGAATTAATGAGTTTGCCTTTTTTAGGAGGAGAGAAGTAGGAAGGAGGTCAGACTTACTGCTATGAAATAATTGAATTAATAAATAATAATTGATGAACTAATCAGTGAACTAGGAAGCTGGGAGACTTAGCTTCTAGTCACCCATTCAGACATTTATTGTATCAACCAACTAGCATTAATCAGTGCTATTTTTTTCCTATTTAACAGGAAGGTAAAAGGAGGAAATATCGATGTGCATCCTTCAGAAAAGGCACTTATTGTTCACTATGAAGTAGAAGCTACAATTCTTGGGGAGATGGGAGATCCCATGTTGGGTGAACGCAAGGAATGTCAAAAAATGTAAGCTTGTGTTATTTAAACAAGGCTATTTTTGAAATTTGGAGTACATTTTTCTCAATAAACTTCCATTTTAAATGGTTCTTTCCTTAAAAATTTCCTTTTTTAAGGCAATAACTTGGGAAAGCTGAACAAATGGCCTTGTTACTTCTGGTGCCTTAAATTTATTGGAACTAATCTAGCATAGTTGACATATATACAAAAAATGCTAAAGAAGTACATTATATTCAGTTTACATGCTGTGTAATGCATGCTAACCTATATAAATATAGCAGAAGTCTTTTCAGTAGCCAAAATATAGTTTGGAAACAAACCCAAACCACTCAGTGTAGCGCTCATCCAGCCTATCTAACTTTTGTGGAATCATTTGATTGCCTATGAAATGTTTGGGGAAGGATATTTTCAGCATTTTTTCAGAAGGAAGGGAATAAAAATGAGATGTTTGTGAAAGGTGTGGAGCTTAACATTCTTAAAGGGAATAGCCAAGGATCTTCTAGATCCTTAGCTTTAATCAAAAGAAAAAAAATTATTGCCAACAAAAGAAGTAAAAGGACAGAGAAAGAAGGCTATCTTTCAAAAAGCTAGTTTATGAGCATGCTTCTCACCTCTTCACTCCCTGTGTGGCCAGTGGTCAGGGATTCTGGGAGTTAAAATCCAAAACATCTGGAAGCCAAAACTTGTGAACTGCTGCTGTATAGATGGGGAATCAATCGTTCTACAAATAGTGGGATTCAAATTCCCATCATCCTCAGCATGGCAAATAGGGACTGTACTTTTTGTATTGACCTTTTGTGCATATCTTCATTACTTTCAATATTATTTATTAAGTTACATGGCCTAATGCTGGCACATACCTGAATACAAATACAGTTGGGTTTGGATGAAGCCTGTGGTTATATATGCATACTTTTGATTGGAAGAGTACATGTGTGTCATGGAAGGGAAAGATGTTGTAAAAGGGTAGAACACATGTGTTGCATGCATATGGTCCCAGGTTCAATTCCCAGTGTCTCTTGGTAGGGCTATTAAAGAATTCTTCCTAAACCAGCTGTTGCCAGTCAGTATTTTCATACTAATCTATATAGGCTAATGGTGTGACTCAGTCAGACCTTACAAGGAAGTTTCCTACGTTCCTTTGATTTGGTCTCTAAAGAAAATGGGCAAAAACAGTGCAATATACAGTGGTGCACCGTATAGCGATGTTAATCCGTTCCGGATTAACCATCGCTATGAGAAAACATCGCTATATGGATAGGAAAATGCCATTGGAACGCATTAAACATCGTTTAATGCGTTCCAATGGCTTCTACACTCACCGTAAAGCGATGTTTCCTCATAATGGCAGCCATTTTTGCGCCCTCGGTAAGTGAGGGCAGGGCGCGAAAATGGCTGCGGCCACCGATCAGCTGGCCGCTGGCCGAAAATGGGGCCGGCGCTAGGGCAGGAGGGCGGGGGAAGGCTCCCACGCCCTCCTCCCCAGCTCACCCCTGCTTCTTCAGCCGGCTGACCGGCCGGCGATCGGCCAGGAGGGGAAAAGAAGCCTCCTTTCCCCTCCTGCCGAGCGCGCAGGGGCGTCTGTGC